CCTGCTCAATGACCCTGCCTGTATTGCACGCACAGCAGTGCGCGCAGGTCTCAGCCTTTAAGATTACACTCTGACCCCTATGCTCCTGTTCAATCTCATCTCCCATGATCCTATTCATTCAAGGAAGACAAATTATATCACTGGGACTGCCTTAATGATAAAGTTTATCCCCACTAATCCAGATCATATTCAGATCCCAGCCCAGGATTGGACATCGTAAATCTTTTCCAGTCAGAACCTGGTTTACATAAGACTGATCTGGAGGCACACCTTGGGTGTCCACATTGGTTTCAAACATTAGATAAGGGTGTGGAGGCATTCTGACGAGCGTGATAATCTATGTTGATCTCCTGTGTTTGCTTCATTTCAATGTGCGATAAACAATGCAAGAACAACATTGCTTATAGCTAGTATTTACATTAGGAAAAATTACATTGTGAGCTTTACAGTTTTCTCTAATGAATATTGAGCTCCTGTAAATGTAATGTTATTAATAATGACAGTTAATCTTTTCAATCGCAACATGCTGAACTAATGCAGAATCGCTTGATGTTCATTGTTTCAGATGAAAAAGTCATACTATAGTTTTCTTTGCATGCAAATTTCACAGCGCTTCTTCAGTAATTTCCAAAACTGTGCAATTATTTTAATATGAAAATACTTAGAATTTCACATTTTAACTGATATCATGCAGAAGACCTGTTCTCAAAAACTGTTTCAGTAATATGCACGTTCTGGTTTTCCATTCATACAACTACCTCAAAACAATGCCCATATGATCAAATCGGGTGAAAACTACATTCCTAGTATTTCTTCAAAGTGGAGCCCAAATGTTTTAATTACAGGTTAGATTAGAGAAGGCTCAGGTTTACTGCTTGTCAGACTGCAATTTACGCACAGCTGAACAACTTTTCTGAATTGACATACTGTTGTAATTAGAGATTAAAGTAAAGGCACATCTGAGAAGAAAGTTATCCCTTTGTTGTTTACCCTCAGAAGCATTTATTAAACTTCAATGGCCTCAGTGGTTGACTTTATGCCTCTGTGACTGTTTCTTCTGTCAAACTGCATTAAAGTGATCATGAGCTATTTATACAGTGAAAACTTTCTTCTGTTAACTTATTTTCCTTTGAAAACATCCAACTGGGCAAACCAAAATGATAAGCTGAGATAATGAACTACTTAATTTAATAGTCTTCCAATACATAGTCAAACCATGGGGATGAAGTCAGCGGAAATTTGTGTAAAAACCAGGCGTGGGTTGAATACACCACAAGTACTTGTTATTATTATCTAGACTGATCCATCTGATGTACACATCTGCCAGACCTTAAAATGTGGATCAGTATTAATATTGAAATAATGACTGGTAAATACTGCACGAGAAGAACACATAATGTGCAGTGGATTTCATTATTTATAGATGTATACATGTACTGTGCCTGTGGGAATCCTTTTTTTTTTCTAGTTGGTCATTGTAATGGCTCTCAAAACGTGCTGAATTCAACCATTTAGATAAACGGAATAGATTGCCCTTAAGCACTGCACAGATATTCACAAACGTCCTCATTTGCATAGGGGGTACAACTACATATTTTACTGCCAAATATTCAAAATTATGCAAATTTGCTGATGCTGTAGGGTATTCAATCAGCATGAGGGAATTAACTACCCTCAAATTATCTGTGTGAATGTGACATTCAAGTATCATTACTTGGAATAGACCGAAACCTCTGGCAAGGTAAACTAACTGGTGGCCCCTATAGAACAGCCAATACCTCTGTACCCCAGCCCACAAATATAAGGAGATTAATTCCTTGGCAGGCAAATGGCCAAGGACACAGAGTCACATACTCAGTTCATTCAGAATTCATTGGTTTATTTCTCTTTAGTTCTCTCCTCTGTTTTTTTATTTATCTTTTTTATTTATCTGGGCTTTTGGTTCTGAAAAGGAAAAACATACCTCACAATTTGATCATTATAGTTCTGACATTAAAAGTCATGAAGCAGTACCTGATTTAAAGGTTCAGATTTTCATAAAAACAACAATCTGCATGCTTCCTAAACTATTTGTTCATCAACTGCGACAAAGCTGAGTGGCATCTCTTGTGTGCATCTTTGACGCAAGGAGCAATGTAAATTGTATGGAATTTTGTTCTGTTTAAGAATAAAAGGGCTTGCATTTTAATAAAAAATCACAATGTTAATGCTTAAATACACAGAAAAAATGTTCAAAGCAGGATAACTAATCAGCAAGGACATGGTATTAAAGCAACCAGTCGGATGTGCTTTGTAATTACATTGGGACAAAGGGAAATCTATTCGTGACAGACCCAGACATACATCAGGATGAATCACGCTTAGAAGTCCATGGAGAGTAAAACTTCATATTAAATAAACACAAAAGCTTGAAGCACATTTTTTTTTTTACTGTAAAGTGACTGAAACTCTTGACATTCCACTGCATTGCATTTTATCGCTGGAAAAAATACTAACTGTGGGCTCTGAGAAATAAATAATGCAGTGTGCTTTTGCAGATCTGGAAACTCAAAGAGACGCCACTTTCATGTTTTCTTAACATCAAGATCAAATCCCCCTATCTGCTGCGAGGAGAAATGTCAGTGCCCTGAGATATCTTAATCCTTTTCAAATGTGGAATGTGCAGCCAGGGAATGCAGTCAGAAGCACTGAATTTTTAAAGCTTGGATAGAGATTGGTCCACAAGGAGTGGGACTGAGCTCCACAGAGCTATGGGACCACAAAATGTGTCAATCTTAAATGTGTAAATGGGGGATATGGACAGATCTCGCGTGCAAGCAAAACAGCATAATTCAAAGGCACACAGTTCTTAGCTGGTCAAATACCATATACGTCACAATATGTTTGCCAGTTCAGAATAAAGTTTAAATGTTGGCAACATGTTTATAACTCCATATTTTCGTATTCTGTTGATGAAAACAAAGACTTCTTGCCCTGTGGAATAACTGCCTTTTGAATGAGACATTATTCAAAGGTTCCAACACTGTGGTCATTATTCTATCATGCTTACCAGAAAAATGATGTCAGCCATGGAGCAGTGGAATGATGTATGTGAGAAATCATTTGATGGAGCGACTTCATATCTTGGCGTACATGGAAAACAATGTCCACCACCCAGCCATTCAAAATTGATAATTCTGTAAAACTGTTGTGTGACAGGCAATAAAATTAGAAAAAAAAAATGTAAATTGTATATACGTGGCATAAGTCCCCGCGATGAGCCTAGCTCTTGGGAAAAATGTAAAATTACTAAAATATAGTGTAAATTAAAAAATAATGATAAAAAATATACTTTTATTTCGACCAAATAGTGATTTTTTAACCCTTTCATTACCGTTGTCGCATTTCCGCGACAGCGCCGATCCTGCATCACTTACCATTGTCGCTATTTTGCGCCTAGAGAAAGTCCCTCACAAAAACTGTCAAAGCTCCGCAACAAAACACCCCTTTGGATGAGTCTGGTATCGCACAACACGTCAGTGATGTCATCAGGCTTCCCGTAGTTCCCAATCCTCCGGTTATGCACAGTTCTATTTTATTTTATACAGGTTATTGCAGGCAGTGCGTGCTGCAGCACGTGTATCTCCGTTTGTACACAAATGCACACGTATCTCCGTTTGTACAGAAATGCGCGTGTATCTCCGTTTGTACATAAATCCCATAGAGGAGAAATCGTCTTGTCTTGACAAACCGAAATACGGTTTTTATCCTCATTTTCTGTTTTTACTTTTGGAAAAACTAAGCAAAGATATGTGTCAATGGAAAGGTAAATTTATTTTGAACATGTTTTCCGTACATAAAATTGTCCACTTCTGGCATTTTTAGTTCAAAAAAGGGGGTGAAAATCCACATGCAATATCATGCTGCAATAGCACAACAATTTACGGTAAGCAAGGGTTGTCTTATTCCCAGTAAGCGGTAGTGAAAGGGTTAAATTTGAATTTGTATTTAGATGGGTATATAGATTTTTTTTTGTTTTGTTTTGCTTTAGGAAGTAGTTTTCCAAATGAGCAAAATGATAATGCTTTACAGTAAGGTCACATGATTGACATCAAATGCTGAAGGTGTTATAATGAGATGAACAAATTTTTTAATTTAATGTGATTATAAGTAGTTCGTTAGTTAAATGCCTCTGAGTGGCTCACGTTAGTCTGAAAACCTTGTAAAAACTCTCTAGCGACTACTCCTGGTCGGGTAGATGCATGTAACTGTACGAGCAAATTGTTGACAGACTGCGTTATCCTCCAACAGCATAGGCAATGTTTAATTGGCAGCGCAACTGCATGTGTAAAAGAAGCAAGGGCTAGCTGTCACATGAATCGGAGGAAACGGGCGCCTCAGCGTCCACCTCAAGAGCTGATGGGAGCATGTCCCTGCAGTGGACTAAACAGTTCAGCTGTGCTCAGGGTAGGAAAAAAGGGAGAAAACCTCAAAAAAAATATTTGTGAATTATTAATCATGCATTAGTAAAGTACATATTTAACTCATGATTAGTCATCCTTACTGATTCATAAACAAATACTGTACTAGTATTTACTATTTTTTTTTATTCCTGCATTGATTGGGATCAACTAATGCTGTTGTCAAAATCCTAATACTTCTCCCTACTGTTTTTTTTTTTTTTTACTCCCCCTGCCCCCCCTTCAGTTTATAATCGTTTCAACATAACCCGTTCCCCCCATTCCCCGCATGCATGGTGTCCAGTTTTTTAAATTGTTCAGTCTGGCAACCCTCTTAGATTGCAAAATCTTGCTGATTAACAGAAAGAACGGACACTTTCTGAAGTCATAGCTTTCACTGTATCCAGCCTGCAGCTGTGCAGTGTGGATAACAGGGTGTTGGTCATCAACGTGCTCAGGCAGCCTAATAAGTGTGCTAGAAAGCTGACGTGCTCTTTCTCGTAACACTTGTGAACCTATGCAGAGCTCTGGGTTAAATCCCACACTTGCTGTTTTGTTTCTGTACAAGGTGGCACAGTGGTTAGCGCTGTTTCCTTGCAATAAGTAGGTTCAGGGTTTGAGCCCTTGCTGGTCAGGACGTCTCCGTACGAAGTTTGCTTGGTCTCCCCAGGCACCGCACTGTGGCTACCCAATGCTCCTGAGTAACTAGGATGGGTCAAATGCAAAGGACAAACTACCTCACAGGGTTCGATAAAGTACATCTTTTTGTAATGATCCAGAGCAGTAATCAAGCGCGAAGGAAGAACACAACCCAGTGGTTGAGTTTATTGATGATAATACCGTACCAGTGGGACGGAGCCCAGAGGAGATTAGCACAATGCAGTTCAGATGTTACGGACAAAGCATTGTAGGCATGCCAATCTACGGCCTGTGGCTCTTCGGATTGACTACTCGGTGGGTTGCACACTTCACTTGAGCCAAACTGTCCTGAAGCAGGATGGAGTAGCTTAGGAGGAACGCGATTCAAATCCTGATGTCCACAGAAGGATTTGGAGCTTGTTCCTAATAAACTGGACAGAGGAACAGACTGGGAGAGGATTGACAGAAGCACATTCCCAATCCTGGAGACCGTGAGAAAGGCTTGGGAGCTTGTTCCAATTAACTAAACGAGAAATGAAGCGATCACAGCAAAGTACAATCCAACAACATGCATCTCAAAAGAGGTGGTTAAAATGCGTCACACACACACAAGAGGTGAGGTGACCACTAAACAAGACAGAGTTGGGGATGGTGGGAGCACGCAAGACTCAAAACAACTAAAGGAAACATTACTTCTAATTGCTATGCAAGTTGCTGAATGGGAGGAGAGACAGAAGGCATTCACACCAGGTTTAGGACATCTTCTCTTGTCCCCAGGTGAATGATATATCACCGCTAAGTTATCAGTGTAAACCTTCATATTGTGCACTAAACAGATCGCCCTCAGAGAAAGTAGTCTAGATAATAGATAGATAGATAGATAGATGGGTTGATGGATGGATGGATGGATGGATGGATGGATGGAGCTGTTGCTCATGCCCTGGTTACTGACTTTTCAATCACTCTCAAAGCCTGACCCCCAGCCCCCATGATATTATGCCCGACCACAATATCTCTACCTGTGATTTTTTTTTTTTTTTGCACTTGGTTACTTCTTGCGTACAGTAATGCTACCTTGGATTTAAAGTTAGCGCTGCATTAAAAAAAAAAAGATCACATTAGTAAGCAGCAGTGTAAGTAGCCACTATCTGCATGTGGTTGGTCTGAATAATTAATGTGCACTGAATCTGCTATAGGCAGGGCGCATCAGCCGATTACTGTATGACTACATCCTGCTCCACTGAAGAGACTCCCAGCTAATTCCATGTCTCCCTGAGGATGGTCAGACCTGAGAGTTTAATTACACACTCACTCCCTTTGCTACTTGTGAAAAACCCCCGAGGAAAAAAGCTAGGTGAAGCACATTTTTAAAATGCATACAGCCATAGGCCATTCATTTGAGTGGCCAAAGCGCTGATATCCTTGCATTCCATTCCACATCGTCATGTCATGCAGTTTGTACCCGTGACTCCGATCGCTATGACTGCAACTCGGAGGAAGGATTTATAACTGCCTTGGGCTGGGAATACTATGTGTTATAACTGCCAAAATTTAGAGGGTCAGGTCTCATCAGCAACACAATTATAAGTACTCAAACTTTAGGGACAGAATGATTTTCCTCTGAGCAAGATCAGCAAGCTTCAGTTTCACTCAGCTTCAAATGGTCACATCTCCTCCAACGGTGGTCAAACTATCATTGCCTCTTCCTCAGTGTAGTTACAGGTCACCATCTGTCATTAAGGACCACCTTTGTCAAATGTTTGAAGATGACCTTGAGCATTTAACAAGAGGATTACAGGCCCTTTCACCAGATGTATTTTATAAATAGAAACAGTTTTATGAAACTTGATAAAGCTGCAGTTTAAAAAAAAAGAAAGCTCCTAATGTGACCAGAACCATATAATTCTACGCAAAATATGTCTAAGCTGCATGTAGAATTTTCCACATATCTTGGGGGTCTATATTTTATGAAATAACTGAAAATTTGTATTCAGAAAGGCTTCTTAGACAGCAGAGTGTCGCATTAAGAAGGCACAATTATAACTGAGTGTTCTTACTTTGTGATGCTTCCATGGTAACAGGCTAGAGATGCAACTGCTATTTATCCATAAACCGCCTAGAAGCTTACAGCTTGTTGCGAAACAGACTAATGGTAAATTAATGGAAATAAATGTGAAAAATAATCCACAAGCAATTTGTCATGGCAATCAGAAATATCCCCAATCTGCGCGACATCCATTTAACGCATTTGTGTCCTCCATTATGTAAATTGCATGTATAACCATGCATATGAGAATCCACTTTTCATTAACCCACTAATGCCTTTACCATTACAATTAATTGACTTAGACAAATGATAGATGGGATATCACTGAGAGCACCTTGCACTCACTGATGCAGTTGGTTATAGAAGGCATTTAATCTCAAAATCTGAACACTCTTAAAGGCAGACTATAAAGCTGGGAGCTTTTTTTGTTTCTTCAGCAATACATTCAAATTTATGATTGGGGAATGTACATGGCAAATGGGATGTTCTAAATGTGCATTTTTCGCGTGGAGAGAGGTAAAATTCCTCATGGTACCTTCACTGACAGTAGAACAGACCAAAATTCAAATGATAACAATCAAACATAATTCAAAACAATAATTGAGAAATGAGGCAAAGCAAAACTAATGAAACAGATTCTCTGCCCAATAAACCTCTTCTGGGAGGCATACAGGCAGGCCTTGATTAAAATGGATAATTTTCCTAGTCTCAGGCTTAAAGACGAGAAGTAAAGAAGAGAAAGAAATTGCACATATTGTTCTGTTTCCCTCCTCCTTCCATTTGTCATGCCAAAAAAACTCACCAGAGAAAAATGTCAAATGAATAACATGTGGTATAATCAATGACAGAAGTTTTGTTTTTGTTCTGCAGTCATATTTTTAGACCCATAAGCCAATGGAATAAATCTCTAAAAAGATTACATTGCTTTTACTAAGATTTCTATTATTCCTATGCAAAGTTAACATCTCGCTTCCCTGAACAGACGCCAACCATCTATGCTGAAAAAAAAAAAAAAAAAAATGAAGACGTGAACCTCGCTATAAACCCTGCTTATGAGGGAAAACTGTGATGCCAAAACAGGTGTTTGCATATTTCAGTTATACAAATGCTAGAAAAGCTCTGGGATGTCTGGGGTGTCAGGAGACTGAGTGTGTAATACCCAGGGACTTTTACCTGGGGCCTGTGGCATTTTAGTGCCTCAAATGGGTTAGCTGCATGTCATTAAGCAAAGCATGCTGTCTGAAGTAATAAATGGATGGATTGTGGGGGAGAAACCCAGGAGATTTGGTTGTGTATTCAGAAAAAAGTGTTATTTCACATCAAATAGACTAGAGTGAGAGCTAAACTATTTGACAAGCATACTGAAACCCTCAAAAACTTAAATAAATTGTGTCTTTTTGCTCGCATACATGATTGAGAACAAAATCATTGATCCCTGTAGCCTTTTTTGTCAATCCCCGTAAATGGCCCACTTCTGCATGAGAAAGTGACGGTTAACCATTATGCTGAGAACAAACACTCTCAAGCAGCCTACACGTTCTATTTATAGTGCTTTAAGTGGGACCCAATTAATGAAAGCACGATGTATAACAAAAGCTCAATGTCGCCGTTTTACTTGAGGGTATCAATCTGAGTTGGATCTCCATAAACCTGCCTCGGTTATGGACTGGTTGCAGAATATGGTGGTGTGGAACAGTAGAGTTTAGAGTTAATTTGTTTGCATGCTAACCTGAGGGATCAGTTGGTGTGGACACACCCGCTCCCCCCACCTTACCGTGAAAGTATGTAGGCAAGCGTCAGCAGTTTTGCAGGCTGACGGCTGTCCCGTACTTGAAACCTAACCCAGGTGCAGAGGGAGAGAGTGAGACAAAGAGCGAGAGTGGAACAGAGAGAGACAGAGAAAGAGAGAGAGAGAGAGCAAGAGCAAAGGAAAGAGTTGAGAAAAATGGAAAAAAGGTAAAGAGGGAATCTGAGAGAGCTGCAGGCGTTGGCTGGAGAGTGCATTTGGCATTCCTCACATTTCCCAGTTGTGGCAGTATACGGTCGCCCTGGGCTGAGTGAGTGAATCCAGAAGCAGACAATGGCGTGCAACACCACTGCGGCAACCAATGGGGATGTTGTGGCATTGGACAAGAACACAATTCCCTCGCCCCCATGCTAACACTGATAGTGGCTATGAATTAGCTTAACATCGTGTTTGTGTGGTTTTGTTGCGATGACAGACAGCAGATTACTGAAGGTCGCCGTGCTGAATAGTACCTGTGGAGGCGTGTAGTGACAGGCTGAGGGTAAATGCGGGTTGTGCCTGAGTTTGTCTCTGCATCAGTGGTGGCTGCTGAGCTGAAAATAGCGAAGGAACAAAAAATCCCTTTAAACTGATAAGGTCTGGCCCTTTTTCAGACAGTTTCCTTTGTTTATTGTGCTTGGGTGAGCCAAACATAAATGCGTTTTAGAAAAGTAGCAATGTTATTCACGAAGAATGCTTTGAAAAAAGATTTAAAAAAAACAGCAGAAGATCAGAAGTTTTCTGAAAACTAAATATGAGTGGCAACAAGAGGGATTTACTTTCCTGCTTGATGTGAATAATTTCACTGTACTGCTCTTCTGCTTCCTAATGGAACATCCTAAGCTCTGCTCACCTGTTTCATGTCAGCTAGTGTCCCTGAGCTTTGGAGATTAGACTTGAAAGAAACATGCTAGATGGATAGCGAGGTTGTCATAGCGACAGGCTGGTTGAAAAACATGAGAAAATATCTCATGAAATCACACAAAGGGAGAAGAGAGGACGTGACAAAGAGGACTGCATTGTCAAAGTGAACTGCGCCTCCAAATTACACAGCACTCAGCCGCGGCACTACTCAAACATGTTATTTTTAGCGGAGATAACTCCTTGTCACTTTACTCATTACGAAGAGAAAATTAGGGCAGCACTGGCCTCTCTTCAATAA